TTTTTTCTGCTTTGCCCGGGAAAGGGCGTGGTGTAGAAACATGTGATAGTGCATTTTCGTAAGGAAGGCTCCATATTTGATCCAGTTGATCCACTCGGTCCACTTCGCCGTTGGTATATCATTGAACTGTCCAATGCCGAAGCAGCTGTCCGCTTGATTCACTTTCCCATTTTGCTATTAGTCAGTTCACTGATGTGACAAAAAGCAGAATGGATGAAGTGGATCAAGTGTGTGTTTAAGCTGTTGCATTCAGAAAAGTGACCGATCCGAGTCGATATCAGAAAATGGAGTGGAACTGACTGCAGAGGAGCAGCTAATAAATAGAGAAAAGAAGAGACAGGACAAGAGGAACAGAAGAGGAATGAACAAGAACAGAATGTAAGTAGCAGGTAAAGCGTTTTCAATAACCATAGCGCATTGGTGGGAATAAGGTTTCGGCATGATTTAGGAAGGAAATGAAACAAGCAGAAACTTTGATACGAGCCTCTAGTGTCAGGTTGTGTCCTTCCGTTATCCAACCGGTGAAGTGCAAGTACGTTGAACTATTGCTTTGAACCTTCTTGTTTCTTTAACGTTATTATCATTGTTCTTGAGATTTGGAGAGAAATGCACATTAGAGCACGATATAAGCGCATTTCTTGCCAAGAAGCCGGCAGACATTGGCGATGTTTGTCCCCTATTTGAAGCCAGAGGAACTTGCCCGTTCAGCTACGCTTGTCGATTTGGAGGCGCACACACTGATGCAGAAGGAAATCAGATCACTAAGGTGAAATTCCAGCATCTCAGCTTTCCTTATGCCATACTGGATTTTTTTCCTGCAGGAACCGAACAAACCATATGAAGAAACTATCAATAGCTCGTCGATACAAATACAGATCGCACTTAGGAAAAGAACATACGATTTTGATCGGTCAGAGAAGGTAATAAACTTTACATCTTCTTTCTGTAAACGTTACATCTTTTTTTAAAAACTATTTTCTGTGAGTTTCCTGTCCCTTTAGGTGCTCACTGCCCTGAAAGAGGGAACTATCGGAGCTATGGAGCGCGAGAAGCCAAAGTTGGATATGAGAAGTTTGAAGGGAAAGAAATATTTGGCACCTCTCACTACGGTGGTAAGTTATCGTCCATGCTTGCGTGTTATAAACTTTTCTTTCTCATAGTATCAACTCTTTTTTATTTGCTTTTTAGTTGGTATCAAATTATCAGTTTCCGGGTAAACTTGCCTTCACTTACTAAATTAACAATACGCTTGATTCCAGGGTAACCTCCCATTTCGCAGGATTTGCGTAGACCTTGGAGCAGAGGTTACCTGTGGTGAAATGGCTTTGGCTACCAGTCTCTTGTCAGGTATGGTCGCCAGGTCATTTGGTTTCCTACTTTCTGAGTGAGAGTTGTAATTATAGGAACACCATCCGAATATTCATTAGTGAAAAGGCATCCGTCCGAGAAGATTTTTGGTGTGCAGTTAGCTGGCGGTTTCCCTGATACGATGGCCAAGTCAGCTCAGATATTGGTCGATGAAATGGAGGTGGCTGAAAAGCTTTTTATCAGATTCTATGTTTGGTTTTATCGTTTTCAGATCGACTTTATAGACATCAACATGGGTTGTCCAATTGATGTTGTAAATCAGAAAGGTGGCGGATGCGCTCTACCTAACAGACCTAATAAATTGGTAGAAGGTTTGTGTCAATTTGATATCTTTATTGCTTTTCTGAATCTATGCTTCGCTCATTCTTCCACTTTCTTCTCGAAATTACATGTTTTCAAGACCTAGTGGCCCAAATTTATTGCAAATCATGGTTTCATCTACCTATAGTTTTTTTGAAGGAAAGTATCTGTTATAGTAATTTCGGCAATGCGTGGCGTAATGCGCAATGTCCCATTGACCGTGAAGCTTCGTACTGGACTCAAAGAGGGCGTACTAACGGCCGACGAGTCTATCAAAGTTATGGTTGCATCTGCCAAACCAGATCTGATCTCCTTTCATCCGCGTAGCAAGTAAGCTTACTGTTTATGAGGTCGTTCTCTAGAGAAATGTAGTGGCTTTCAGAGAACAACGGTATACAAAATTAGCCAATTGGGATTTTGTACCTCCATGTCTTGAAGCATGCGGTGACGTTCCTTTGTGGGTGTGTGGCGATATACTTAGTTGGGAAGATTACTATCAGGTAACAGAGCTTTCTGTTTCGCTCCCTTTCACGCCCTTTCTTCATTAGAAGTTGGACTGAAAATATCTAAAGCATATCCCTATCATCTCTAAGATATTACCTTTACCTTATTTTATGTGCGTTTGTTTTAGCGGCTGGAACAATATCCTATAAGTGGTGTTATGGTTGCACGTGGGGCACTTATCAAGCCATGGATTTTCACCGAAATCGAAGAACGTAGGACGTGGGATATTTCGGCAAATGAAAGGCTGGATTTGCTCAAAAAGTAAGTTTTGAGAAGTTCGGCATTCATAGTGAAATCTTGGCAACTTGTTTACGTTGCTACTCATTTAGCGTTGCCTGTACTTTTCAAAAACTTCTCATTTTGTTTGGAATCTAGGTTTGTCAATTATGGACTCGATCACTGGGGTAGTGATGATGCAGGTGTGGAGAGAACGAGACGCTTTCTGTTGGAGTGGCTCTCATTCCAGTGCAGGTTAGTTTCTGCTTTCTTTGTTCTCTGTGGTTTCACTGAAAATATAGGATTTATCCATCTTTTTACTTACCTTCAGATACATTCCTGTGGGGCTTCTTGAACGACTGCCACAGCGTATCAACGATCGTCCACCTCTATATCGTGGGCGTAGCGAATTAGAAACGTTGTTGGGTAGCGGTCGTGCGTCAGATTGGATCGAAATTAGTCGTATGATATTAGGACCAACTCCGGAAGGCTTCACATTCATTCCAAAGCACAAGGCGAGCTCTTACTAGTACTTTCTTACCTCTTCCTTCTATGTACATCTCCAACAATAGCACAGAACTTCAATAGATTAATACCCTAATTTCAATACAAGGCGCGGGGTATTTTTTTTTCAAAAAATGACCGGCCCAATCACGCCAAAGGACTTTGCAACCGAAGGACCCTATATTGTGTTGCATATTGCTTAAGGGAATCGCACGGCATAAGAATTGTTTTCCGAAATCCAGTGAAGCGGCTGAGCGGCT